CCAACTAGTCCCCCAAGCGCCTTTCTCTTATACCCTAACAACGAACTATGGGATCTTCTCTTCATCTAAGTTACGCCAACAAATGCCTGAAGGGCCACCAGAGGTTTGCCTCTTCCTCTCCCACCTGATCGAGATATCGATCACAAGTAGCTTATTCTGGGTTGTAAGATTGTCACTCAGGATGACTTTAAAGTCCTTGCAAGACACCTTATCATACCTTCGTAAGAGACCACAATCGGTCAGCAACTTCGCCACTCGACTGCAAAATGTCACCAAGTGCATGTCTTGCTTCTAGAAGAAAAAGTTAGTGATCACCAAGTAGTTCATTCTAGCAAACTCCAAGAGTGAACATCATCATAACCCTTTACTGTACTGCTGATGTGACAACTGAAATTGCCTCCAACAATGACATCCCCCCCAACTACCCCATCCAATTCCTCCAACAATTCTCGCTTAACTTCATCGAGAACTATTTGGGGTGTGTGGGCACTGACAATGTTGATAGTACACCCCCAATCACTAGTTTAATCACCATCGGTCGCCAATCACTATTCTTTCTCAACTCAACCACGAGCTCATAGAGATCCTTATCAACCAAAATGCCACTCACTAGAAGTGTGCATTAGGTTTGGATTCACGGAAAACTTGACCCTGAATTTTATAATGAAATATTTTTGAATTATATGTTTTGGTTCCAGAATGTAGAATGATTTTGGTCGTGTATTCATTTGGTAATTAAAAAAATAGTTTACTAAGGTTAGTTGAATAGAATCTGTTGGTTACTTTAAAATCTATCAACAAGGCTGCAGAATTAGCTTTTAAAAAAGCTAAGCCAGATGACTCCAAAGCATATTCTCATATTCAATGCAAATATGATTTTTTTCAAAATCTAAAACAAACGCTTCATTTAGCTAATTTTAAAATGAGAATTGACATAATTTTGTTCTCAAAATCAGAGCCAAATGGCTTCATTTTTGCAGTCAAACTGGACAATTTTGATCATCAATTAAATAAAAATTCTATTACATACTAATACAAAAATGATTTCATTATATTTATCATGCAAAAAAATAAAAACTTTCATGAATCTCATTGCATTAATATGCAATGTAATTTTTATTTAATTGATTATCAAAGTTAGTCTAGTTTAACAAATACTATAGGACGAAGGGAGTATTTTTTTTTTTGAATTTTGAGTAAACTCAGATGAATAATTTTGTTCCTAGAATCCAATTAATTGAAATAATAGTGTTTGATCCTTTGATTTTTCAAACTCAACTAATTCTTAAATAGCTGGTTTTGAGAATGAGATATTGCCAAAAGCAGAAACCAAAAGAAAGAAAATCAAGAGTAATTTTAAAGAAACACACACAGAAAACTCACAGAGTCATGAGTCAAGTAGGTGTCGCAATAGTCACAGTAGTACCTGCACAAAAAAAGTAAATACGAAGAAATTATCATTACAAGTAGATATTCGCCAGAAACGGAATATGGAAAAACGTTTACCACACAAAAAACATAAATTGCATACCGAGGCATTTTGATGTATGACGGATGAAGCTCGGCTGCTCAATGAGATGGAAACTTTATCGCAGCGGTGTATCCCTCCGGCGAGGCGACTCGCTTGACTTAGTAATATCAGATTAATAAAGGGTAAAGTATGAAAGAAGCTTTATTGTGTGTTGCACAGAGCGAGTGATTAGGGTCCTGACTCCTGAGGATGTAAGGAGGACGGAGGAGGAAAAGAATTTTCTAGTAGATGGAGAGCTGAGTTAGCCCAATCTTTGAATTTGGCTAGGGCGAATTTGGGACTTGGGAGCAAAGGTTTTAAGGAAAAAATGAATTCGTTAAATAATTCTCCAAAATAGGACTAGGTTGTGTTTCGTTCGCCTCATCTGATCTAATTTCATTTTTTTTATCTAATTAGATTTTATCTGATTTGATTTGATTAAATTTCATCTGATCTGATCTAATTAGATCTGGTTCGATCTGATTTGGCTTGATTGGATCTGATCTCATTAAAATTAAAACTATGATAATAATAATAATGGTAATAGTAATAATAATAGTAATAGTAATAATCATAATAATAACAGTAATAATTATAATTATAATTATAATTATAATAATATAATCATAATAGTTATATTATTATTAATAATAGTAAAAATAATAATAATAGTAATAATGATAACTATAATAATAATAATAGTAATTATAATCATAATAGTTATATTAATATAATAATAATAGTAATATTAATAATAATAATAATCATAATAATAATCATAATAGTTATATTAATATAATAATAATAGTAATATTAATAATAATAATAATAGTAATAATAATCATAGTAGTTATAATAATAATAATAATAATAATAGAAATAGAAATAATAATAATAATAATAGCAATAGTGATAGTGATTAGGGGTGGGTTCGGTTTTGGCGTTTCGGTTTTCACCCAAAACCAAAGACAAAACGGAAGATAAATTGGTGGTTCGGTTCGGTTCGGTTTTGCATAAAAAATATGTAAACCGTTGGTTATTCGGTTCGGTTTTATACGATTTTTATTTCGGTTTTTTCGGTTTATAAAAGTAAAAATTTATAAGCATTAAAAATTGTAAAAACACTAACTCGATTAAACAATAATAATATGTAGTGTTAGCTTTGGTTTCTTGTTTGATTTTTACACAAAAACAAAAACCAAACGGAAGGTTATTGTTCCTTTCGGTTCAATTTTACATAAAAAAATATGTGTTGAGTGCCCAACAAACATTTAGAAGATTCCAAATACTTCCAAAGAAATCGTATGTAAAATCAATTACGAAGAATTTAGGTTTTTTGGTATAATACTTTCATATTCATTATAACATCAAAGTATTTGTTATGTAAATATGTAAATTACTCGTGTCAATTTTTAATGTTAATATAATTCTATATTAGGATTAGCTATTGGTGTTTATATTCTTAGGTTTTTTCAAAGTTTATAATAATATGGCTAGAATGTTTAATTAATAGTTAAGAAAATAATTTTAATCGACTAGTAATTTATTTGCGTTTATATTTCTATAATTTTTTTACATATCACATATATTCATATAAATAAAGCGAAGTATCTAAAAAAGTTCGGTTTATTCGGTTCGGTTCGGTTTTTAAAAGTGAAAACCAAAACAGAACCAAACACTAACGGTTCGGTTCAGTTTTTTTACATTCAGTTTCGGTTTTTTCGGTTCGGTTTTTTTTCTAGCTCGTTTCGATCGATTTCGGTTCGATTTGCGGTTTTCGGTTTTCCCAACCCAGCCCTAATAGTGATAATCATAATAATAATGGCAATAAAAATATTAATAATAATAAAAATAGTAATAATAATAATAACAATAATAATAATAATAACAAAAATAATTAGCTTTTAAAAAAGCTAATGAAATCTAATATCAAAATTTATACATGCAAAAATCATGTTATTTATCAAATTGCCTTATTATGAATTTGGTATATACCAACTATGTCGATCAACATTAAATGTCTTATATACCTTAATGTTATCCCCAACATACTTGGAATTGGTGTCAAATAAACCTTGATCGGGCACTAAAATTTGTGCAACGGGCATAAAAATTCTAGTACATACATACATACATACATATATCCATGCATGTATGCATGAATACATACATACATGCATACATGCATACATACATACATACATACATACATACATACATACATACATACATACATACATACATACATACATACATACATACATACATACATACATACATACATACATACATACATACATACACACACACACACATACATACATACATAGGATCATGTGAGAATGCAATCTAATGCAAGAAATAAGAATGCATCTTAGCTTGTGCTTAAAATCTAAGGCTTGAAAAATTTAAAAAAAAAAAACAAAAAAACTGAAAAAATATAGTGGTATTATGGTAAATTAGTTGGACTTTACTCTAGTACCGAAAATGCAATACAACAATGTACAAATGCATCGTGACGGTATAAATATGCATCATTCTTACGATAAGGTCTATTCTCGCAGTAATGACCATTCTCACCTGAACCAACACGTGTGTATATATATGTATGTATGTATGTATGTGTATATATATATATACACACACACATAGTATGTATGTGTGTGTGTGTGTGTAGACACACACATATAGTATTTTTTTATTTTTGCACATGTAAAAATTAAATCTTTAATATATGGAGTACTAAATTTTACTTTCATATAATTCATAAAAAAAATAATAGTGTATGCATTTTTAATGATTTGTTTCTTTTGATTTTCTCATTAGATATATTTTTATTTTGAAATTTTTAATTCTTTTTATTTTAAATTTTTTAAGTTTTAATTTTTTATATACATTATTGAATATCTTTCAAGGAAAATAAGTTTGAAAATTATTTTTTTTCTAACTGCCACGTCTAAACGCTACTCCCTTTGGCTTTTTGGATCAAACAACCAAGTAAAATATCCATTAGCCAAACAATTCTTTTGGTTGTTCAATTAGTCAGAACGTCAAAGTCAGTAAACGATGTCAAAAGTCATCCGATTCAATTAGTCAAAACGTCAAAGACAGTGTTGGTCTAGGCTCTGTCTCACGTCGTGTGTCGTCCCAGAGATTGCATTACGCCTCTCGTCATTTTACCAGATCGAAAACCTGAGAGGAAAAGGTTTTAGGGGCTGAACGGTGACTGCAACGATGACCGACGGATTGGGTATGAAAATATTTATATAAGATGATATGAAATTATGTAACATAGAAGAAATAAAAGATAAAGAAACTTATTACGAGTACTTTTTAATCCTATATGATCAATTTCCTCATTTTAAAATACTCAGGATCAGACCGGAACACATGCAAGAGCGCTTGAGCAGAGCATACCTTCTAAAAGAGAAGAGGGATTCAAATGAAATGGTGAATTGCATTAACGCATGACCCCGATTGAAAATTACAACGAACTATTCAGTATTTATTCAAATGGACCCAAAACATGACCACAGCAGAAATAGGCATTTACGGATAATTAGGATAAGTCGATTTCTGGTACGTTCTTTGATTTCTAGCCGGAGATCTGAACGTTCTTCACTTCGGGCTTCTTTTCCTCCACCTTTGGGACGGTGACGGTGAGGACGCCGTTCTCCATCGCTGCCTTGACCTGGTCAACCCTGGCATTCTCCGGCAGCCTGAACCGCCTGAGGAATTTCCCGCTGCTCCTCTCCACGCGGTGCCACTTGTCGCTCTTCTCCTCCTCCTCCTTGCTCCGCTCGCCGCTGATCTGCAGCACCCGGCCTTCTTCCACCTCCACCTTTACCTCCTCCTTCTTCAGCCCCGGGACGTCGGCCTTGAAGACGTAAGCCTCCGGCGTCTCCTTCCAGTCAATTCGGGCATTGGCGAAGGCAGATGTCTCCCGAGCGGGCTCGCCGCCGCCGCCGGTGAAATTGGCCAGCGTGTTGGAAAACAGAGGGTCCCACAGCTCCATGGAGAACGGATCGAAGACGTTGCTCCGGCGGCCCTCGAAGAAGCTCGGAATCAGAGACATGTTTGATTTTCACGACGGTGAATCTGAATCGGAAGATTGAAATTAATTAAGCGCTTGAGTGCGATAGGAATGAAATCTGGAGATTCAATTGTTCCGTGGATGGGGAAAAATGGAGAGCAGTAAGAATTTATAGTGTGAAAAAGGAAGGTGATGGATGGAAGGAGCATGAAAATGGTGGTGCGTTCTTCCATGTTCCGGGTCCTTCTTTTATTTTCTACACACTTCTACTCAATCCTGTGAGGAACAAACGAAAACGACACCTAATTTTCTACCCCCAAAAAGTATTTCCTGTTTGGTCTCTCGATAATTCTTATTTTTTCACGTGCTTTCATTGATCATTTGATAAAATAAAATATTTTGTCATTTCTTATTTTGTATAGTTTTCGATGTATTTTTTAAATATAATTTTTTTATGTGTTATTTCCTTACCAATTTATAAATAAAATTATTTTAAAATTCACGGGGTTTTGCATGTTAATCAAAGTAGGAAATTCTTTTTGGGACGAAAGGAGTATCTTTCCAAAATTTTTTCCTTTCCACATTTGGTTAGTCTCATACTTGAACTAGATTCTAACTAATGCAACTGGTAAGAATATTAATATAATAATTATGTAAAACGCCAAGGTTCACATGTCATTGGAATCCAATGTCATGAGATGATACCAAAATACGATGTAAAAAGTATCATCTTTTTCATTAAAAAAGTTGAAAAATAAGTAACTTAAAGTAGTTCTCTTTAAGATTGTGGGTTGTGGAACTGGGACAAAAGACGTGGCATCCGGTCCCGATGGGGAACAAACCCCCCCCAATCGAGACTCAGCTTGGCCAGCGTCTGCACGCGTACTCTACAAGCTCCTTCTTTTATAAATAAACTTCTTCAAATTTTTCACTTTTAAATTTTAAATTTTCTAGTTTTGAATTTTTTCAGATCTAATTTTGTTTTTTATTTTTTAGTTATAGTTTTTAATTTCAAATTTTATTTTAGTTTTGTTTAAAAAATTATATAAAATATTTTAAAAGTAATATGTAAAAATAAAAATTAAAAAAGATTTGGGGTGGAATGATGATAAAATTGTTAGAAAATCGTTTGGACGAAGAACACTGCAAAGCAGTGTTGACAGAATATATTTAACGAAGAAACAGATGAATTTGTTGACCGTAAAAAATCGAAAAAACGCTTTCACATCAAAGTAAATTACCAAAATACTTTAATCGGATAAGACATTAATCAAGAATAACACTTCGAATCAATTCTCAACCATACCAACGGGACTCTTTTATAGAATCTGATGGGTGTATCTCACCCATGACCGGTCAAAGGATGGAACCAAATAGTTGACCGGTCAAAGAGGTTAAACTTGAGTGGAGGATCTGAACCGTCAGCGAAGGGGATAGATGATTGACCAAAAGGTTGCCCGGTATACTTCGGATAGTATACCGGTCAAACTTTCCTATCGTCTAAATCCATCCTTCGAAGCTAGCTAATCAACCCTCAAAGACCAACCAGTGAAGTTTCCGAAGAGTGAAGGGTGTCGGCAGGAAGAGTCCAAGAGGACTTGGACTGTTGTGGCTGGCATTACTGGAGAATCAGTGGAGATGCCGAAGGAACTTTTCCAAGCCAGAACACGACAAGGGCACAACCCTCCTCGCAAGATGACAAGGCATCGCACCACATCAGCTGCGTGCCCTCACGTGGGCGCACGTGGCCCTGTCCCCTTAGCTTAGTATATATACCTCTTGTAAACCTTAGAAAGGGGGATCAGAATTCACTCTCTCTAAACTCCCTTATAAAAGCACCCGTGCATTCTCCGTTATAATATAAATTGGGCTACAGGTGTTCCACCTAAAGTCCTACCGGTCAATCTGCGAGTTTTTACCTTTCTTACTTTGCCAGATCAAGCAAACTATTCTAGACCCGGTCTAGTATAGTTTGACCGGTTAAGTAATTTACACCATCATTTTTGGCGCCGACCGTGGGACCGTTAAGGTTTCTTCTCCTAAACACAAACCTACCCACAAAAACACCACTCAAAATGTCTTCAACCCAACAAATCAACGCTACTTCCACTCAGGTGCAAGCCACCAATGAGGGTACCAGCATCCCTGTGGCAGCTACCATACCGGTCATTTCAGCCCCGGTGTTGCCTTTGGGTCTGAGCTCTGTCCCAACGCCTAGCGTGATCAGCCCATTCACGACCCCCGTCCCTTCCGCTGGACCGAGGGTCACGTTCCCACCAAGCATGACTCAGTTCATGAATGACCCAGCCAACCTACAAGCCATCCAGGGCTTTGGCCAGGTCATGGCCATGTGCCAACAGAATGGGGGGATGCCTTTTCTCCCTGGTATGTTCCTGTTTGCTCTTCCATGCGCGGGAACCATGCCCCTACAAGCTCCAATGGCGGTGACGCCATTCCAGACACCGGTGCCGCAGCCATCACCTTTCCAGCCCCAGCTGGTCAGCACCATGGCCCCTGTCAACTTGACTGGCGCGCTTAACGCTGCAGGGTCGTCGCGTCCCCCGCAAGGTATGAATCCGCAAGTCACCGCTGATGGTCATTGCGTCTCAATTGAGAGTGATGACGGCGAGTGGGACATTCCAAGGGCCCACAAGAAGAAGAAAGGAAAAAACATCCGGCCAGCGACCTCCCGAAACTCCGCCTTTGAAAGGCTGGGGGATAGGGAGGAAGGCCAGAGGAAGTCAGCCAAGCAAAGGCTGGGGCAGAGCGTTGCCCATGTCAGTGCGTTCGCCCAGCTAGGCGAGGTGCGGGAGGCCGAGCCTGCCCGCACCCGGCGCTCCCGGTCTAACCGGCAGGAGCCAGCGAGGACGAGGGCCTCTCGTCAGGAAGAGGAAGCAGAGAGCCAGCCCAGGTTACCGGTGGCAAACCGGTTGACCGTCCCAAATGACCGCGTCCAACAGATGGAGGCAAAACTAGAGAGGCTGGAAAAGAAGGTCGGAGAGAAGAATGACCGGGACAAACCCCTGGCGGGGTTCCCGTTCACCATAAGGGTCCATCTGACACCTTTCCCGCGAAAGGTCAAGATCGACGCCCCTAGATTCACCGGGAAGGAAGATCCAGAAATCCATCTGGACTCCTTCAACCAGAGTGCAACCATGAACGGTTGCACCGATGAAGAAAAGTGCCTTCTTTTCTTCCAGACCTTGCGGAACCGAGCCACTGAATGGTTCAATAAGCTTCGCCCAGGAAGCATTGATTCATTCAGTGATTTGGCCTCAAAGTTCAAGGCCAAGTTCCAGGAGAATTGTACTAAGAGGAAGAAATTCACCTATCTTAGTACAGCCGGGCAGAGGGAGTCTGAGAACCTTACTCAGTTCCTTACCCGGTGGAAGGAAGAGGTAGACAAGGTGGAAAAAATGGATGACAAAACCGTCTTATCCCTCCTCTTGAATGGCTTGCGTGCTGGGGAACTATACAAGGAGTTCTGCCGGAAACCCCCGGCCACGTACCAAGAGGCCTACCATACTGCATGGGAGTTTGCTGAGGCTGAAACTCAACTTCGGGCGAAGAAGGAAGCCGAGCATGGTTACAAGCCCAAACCGGTTCAAGTCAAGAAGGAAGAAGCACCGGGACCTAGCCGGCCGAGGCACCACTATGACCCGGTCATCCGAATGGTCAATACGGAAGAATGCCAAGAAATCCGGAAAGCACCGGTCATTCCTCCGGAAAACCCTACCAGTCAAACAGGGCGGCAGTGATCGGGCACCTATTGTTCGTACCACCGGTCAGATTCCCATAACACCTCCGAATGTAAGAGTGTTAAGGGAGTAATCCGGCAGATGATCGACAGTGGAGAGCTGGGCAAGGATTACTTGCAGAAAGCCCAAGAGAAGAGTCATCAATGGGTTAGGCCAGCTGCCCCGGGAGATGACCGGGACAACGACCGGCGGAGGAATAACCGGCCAAGGGAGCGGCAACCTGCTCCCGAAAAAGAGCACATCGGCATGATCTTCGGCGGACCTGAGGGTGGAGATTCAGCCGCGCAGCGGAAGAACTGGGTCCGGAGCATTTACGTTGGTGAAGTAAGTGCTGAACCGGCCAGACGTAAACATACTAGGAGGGAGCCGATCGTCTTTACTGACCGGGATCTCCCTCCTACCGGTGAAGATCACAATGATCCATTGGTCATCACCATGGACATTAATGTGGTGGATGTCGCCCGGGTACTTGTTGACAACGGCAGCAGTGTCAACATCTTATACCTGGAGACTTTCCAAAAACTCAGGTTGTGTCGGACACAACTTGAACCCCTCAAAACCCCTCTCTCAGGCTTCACGGGAGATACGGTAGAAGCCGAAGGATCCATAGTTCTACTGGTCGAACTAGGATCAGGTGAAAAAACTGTATGGAAAAAGATGCGGTTCATAGTTGTGGACATCAAATGCGTCCACAATGCAATTCTTGGAAGGCCAGGCATCAATAAGGTCGGGGCGGTGATTTCCATGCCCCACCTGTGCATGAAGTTCCACACTCCAGGTGGTGTGGGTGAAGTGAAAGGCGACCAGAAGAATGCTCGGGAGTGCTATGCCCGGGCAGTTAAGAAGATGACCAAGGGGGTCAATGTCATCTCCCAAGAGATCACAAAGGAGGAGACCCGGGAGAAATTGGAGCCCGAGGCCGAGACGGTGGAAATCGAACTTCACCCGGGTGATTCTTCGAGGATGGTCAGAATTGGAGCGAATCTCCTCGAAGATCTCAAGGCAGAGATTACGCGGGTCCTTCAAGAATACGCGGGCATATTCGCATGGAGCGTGGCGGATATGCCCGGAATAGATCGCTCTGTTATCTGCCACCGGTTGGCCGTGAGGGAGGGAAGTCGACTGGTACGTCAGAAGAAGCGATACCTGGCCAGTGACCGGCGAGACTTCGTCAAAAAGGAAGTGAAGGACCTCCTCAGTGTTGGTCACATCCGGGAAGTCAAATACCCGGATTGGCTGGCCAACGTTGTCCTTGCTCCCAAGGGCGACACGTGGAGAATGTGTGTGGATTATACGGACTTGAACAAGGCTTGTCCGATGGATTCATACCCCCTCCCAAGTCCAGATCAAATGGTGGACGAAACTGCGGGGTGCGAACTCCTAAGTTTCATGGATGCCTTCAAGGGTTACCACCAAATCTACATGGCCAAGGAAGATGAAGAGAAGACGTCATTCCTCACACCTGAAGGAACCTACTGCTACCAGGTAATGGCGTTTGGCTTGAAGAACTCAGGAGCAACCTACCAGCGCATGGTGAACAAACTCTTCAAGCCACTGTTGGGAAAGACCATGGAGGCATACGTCGACGACATGCTGATCAAAATCCAGGTATCTCTCAACCACCCGGCTGATATGCGAGCCACGTTTGATATCATGGCAAAATACAACCTCCGGCTGAATCCTAAGAAATGCGTCTTCGCGGTTCGTACCTGGAAGTTCTTGGGATTCATGGTGACCAAGAGAGGAATAGAGCCCAACCCAGAGAAAATCTGGGCCATCACTGAAATGCAAGCCCCTACCTCCGTTAGGGATGTTCAAAAGTTGACTGGTCGTCTAGCGGCCCTCAGCCGGTTCCTTTCCCGGTCAGCTGAGAGATCCCTGCCCTTCTTCAAAGTTCTGAAGAAGGCCAGCGCATTCGCATGGGACGAAGAATGCCAGAGGGCATTTGAGGAGCTGAAAGAGTATCTAGCGTCGGATATTGTATTGTCTAAACCCAAACCGGGTGAAACTCTGTATCTGTACCTGGGAATTTCCCCAAATGCTGTAAGCTCCGTTTTAATAAGAGATGATGGGGCGCAAAAGCCCATTTATTATGTGAGCAAAGCACTAAACGGGGCTGAGAGTAGATATGCGGCGATGGAAAAGACAGCCTATGCACTTTTCATCTCCGCAAAAAAGTTGACATCCTACTTCCAAGCTCACCCAGTAGAAGTCTTGACTGACCAACCGCTGGGTGCAGTGTTACGAAATTCAACATCCTCCGGGAGGATGGTGAAGTGGGCGATGATGTTAACTCAATTCAACATTGAGTACGGCCAAGGTCGGCAATCAAGGGACATGCCCTTGCTGACTTCCTGGTAGAAATGACCAGTCTAACTCCAGACCTACCGGTTAACAAGCCCACTGAGCAATGGTGGGAGATGGCAGTTGATGGGGCATCCGGTCCTAGAGGATGCGGGGGTGGTATCGTGTTCACCACCCCAGAAGGGTTCAAGATCTACCATGCAATCGTCTTCAACTTCAAGCTGACGAACAATGAGGCCGAGTATGAAGCTCTGGCTGGAGGGCTCAGACTTGCCCAAGCCTTGAAAATCAGCCGGGTCAGTATCAAATCTGACTCTAGCCTGATTGTTGGGCAAGTGACCGGAAACATGGAAGCAAGGGAAGGACGCATGGCACAGTACAAGGAGCTCGTGCTCGCCCTGTTGAAAGGCTTCGAGGAATTCAAGATCGCCCAAATTCCCCGGGCGGAGAACGTGGATGCAGACCTTCTCTCCAAATTGACGCAGTATGCTCCCGAGCATGTTTCAAAACTTGCCCGGGTAGAGATCCTTGACTGTGCAAGCATCGAAAAATTGGAAGTCGCCGCTATAACAGCCGGAAGCCAATTTGACCAGTCAAACCTGGTCGGGGCGGACGACTATTGGATGTATGATCTGATGGAATATTTGATGGATGGGAGCTTACCAGAGCAAGATGACCGGGCGAGAAAAGTGAAGCTCAGGGCACCCCGATTCCAGGTTCTTGATGGAAAGCTGTATAAAAGGGCATTTGGGGGGCCACTCCTGAGATGTCTAACCAATAGGGAGGCTGAACGAGTCATAGCGGAAGTTCACGAAGGCGTATGCGCGGCGCATCAAATGTCCCGTACGCTTTCCCAACGCATCATCTTGTTGGGGTATTACTGGCCAACAATTGTCCAGGATTGTGAAAGGTACGTTCAGAAATGCAGGACGTGCCAAGTATTCTACAAGTATCCTGGTAGACCGGTGACCTATTATCACCCCGTATCAAACGTCATCCCATTCGCTAGATTCGGGGTTGACATCATCGGAGCATTCCCAGTCGCCCAAGGAGGGAAGAAGTTCGTGATCGTAGCCATCGATTATTTCACCAAATGGATCGAGGCCGAAGCATTGGCCAACATCACCACTTAACAATGTAAGAAATTCATTTGGAAGAACATCATCACGAGGTTTGGAGCGCCCATGAACCTCATCACCGACAACGGCCCACAATTCCGAAATCCGAGATTCACCGAACACTTGGAGGGCTTCGGAGTCAAGCACAATCGCTCCTCGGTAGCGTACCCCCAAGGGAATGGCCAAGTTGAAAATGCCAACAGGACGATTGTAGATGGTCTAAAGAAACGGCTGGGAGAAGCAGGAAACAAGTGACTGGAAGAGCTCCCACACATCAGGTGGGCATTCCGAGTAACGCCCAGGAGGGCTCACGGGGAAACTCCATTCTCCCTAACCTATGGGTGTGAAGCAAGGCTACCCATCGAAGCTGAATTCCCAGCGTTCCAGGAATCAAATTATCAGCCCCAGCAAAATGAAGAAGACCACTTGGCCGAGCTCAACTTGGTTGAAGAACGAAGAATGGCCGCGGAGGTTAAAATGAGTACATACCAACAAGTTGTGAAGAAGTACCATGACAACAAGGTTGGGCCGCGGTACTTCCAAGTTGGAGATGAAGTCCTACGAAGAAGAGAAGCAAGTAGACCCGGCGATGGGGGAAAGCTGGCAAAAAACTGGGAAGGCCCATACAGGGTTAAAGCCATCATTCGACCAGGAACGTACCGGTTAGAAACTTTAGATGGTGTACCTATAGAAAGAACTTGGAATTCCCACCATCTTCGCAAGTTCTACAAATGATTGTAATACTAGGCGAGGCCTACTACATTATCAATCAAAGTGATGTTCAATACTCTACTTGGTAGCGGCAGAATTGATATGTCGAACCTATCCTAGGAGGGCTTCCTGGGTGGATCGAATCCACTTGGATAAGCCAACTGAGACACAGGTGTTAGTCGGTTTAGTCGTTAAAAAAGGACACAACAAGTGGATCTTTGTCGTAGATGCGGTTAAGCACTTTCAACTACGAAACTGCTCTGATACCAATTGTTAGTCGGTTTAGTCGTTGTGCCCACGCCTTAGAGGGGGGGTGAATAAGGCGTTTTAAAATCTTTTCGGAGTTTAATAAAAACGGTGTTGGCAAATGCGGAAGCAATATATAAAACGCAGAAATAAAAGCGTAAATAAAATGCACACCGATTTTATACTGGTTCAGGAACTCCCTACTCCAGTACCTCGAGGCTCCTCCTCAAGGATTTCCGAATCCACTAAGTCCCGGTCTCTTGAACTCCGTCAAAGCACCGCACTAGTTTGGCAAACAACCCTTGCCAATAGGATTCACTCCGAGATTTCACCACGGCTATCTCGAACCGTTTACAACGAAGATTTAACGGCTATCTTCTACCGTTCCCCCAAGGATTTCAAAGGCTATCCTTGAACCTTTACCCAAGGATTTATACGGCTATCCTTAACCGTTACAACGTGAGAATTTGACGGCTATTCTCGACCGTAAGAAGATGTGTTTGAAGAACACAAAAGTAGATTCTACACAACGGCTAGAATATTAAAATGAAGAACAAAACTTAGCCGGTGTAGAAGGAAATTATACTCTCTCAAAA